CCCCACTCCCTCTCCTGCAGGTACTGTTGTGGATACACAAGTCGTTCATCCTAGAAACTATGATTTTTATATGTGCACTCATGCGGGGATGATTGTAAGTCTTATTTGTCATTACGTAATCAGTTTGGTCATATGATTCCATTCTGTTTTTCAGCGTATTTGACGGCATCAGGCCCCAATATATGATTTTGCTTGTGATTAGTTAAGTAATATACTCGTCTCCAATTCAACTGCATAAAATGTTAGACATATGTTTGTCTTTGCGCAAACATTTCGGTTTTATATCCATGACATCCTGCTCATTGAAAGTTTTTAAGTCTCTTTATATCATGGTGTTATTATTAATTTAGTTTTATGAACTAAATTTGGAGCCATTTTCCTTATTAAAGTACCTTAAAAAGTTCGCGATGTACCAAATTGTTGATGCATAATTTTGGATGACAGGGGACTTCTCGACCCACCCATTATCATGTCTTGGTTGATGAAATTGGTTTCTCACCAGATGAACTGCAGAAGCTGATTCATTCACTTTCATATGTGTAAGATTTCGCTCTTTTTAATGTTTTTTCTTCCCCATCTCTTTTGGATTGCTGCATTAGCAAGCATTTATATTTATATTTTATTTTATTTTATTATCTTCTGATTTTTACCTTTTCCCCCTTTTTTCCAGATACCAGAGGAGCACTGCTGCCACCTCTATTGGTACCAACTCCCTTGTCATTTTCTTACCGATGCCTCCAATTCACTGTCTATAAGAATTTCATATAGAATAACAAGAGCATGTGATTCGGAAAAAAGAAACGAAATGTTAAATGATTAGACGCGAAAATAAGTTCTTTCCTTGAAATGAGTCTAAAACTCCCACTGTAACTATCCCTATATGTACTAATTATTACACATTATTTGCATTGCAGTTGCACCAGTATGTTATGCACACCTTGCAGCCCAACAAATGGGTCAGTTCCTTAAATTTGAAGATTCCTCCGAACTATCGTCTGGACAAAGCATTCATGTTCCCCAGCTGCCTAAGCTCCACAAGGATGTTTCTGGATCCATGTTCTTTTGTTGATGTGTAAGAATTTATTTCTGGACTTCAGTCATCAGGTTGAACATTAAAATTAAAAACAATAAATATTAATAGGCAATGCTGCTTAGGTAACTAGGGGTGAGCCCTTGTTTTTACCTTTATCATTTCTTGGTCCATGAAGGAAATAGGTAAAGATCTTTTAAAAGGGTTTAGAACGGGTCGTTTTTTAACTTTGCAGTGATGGCTGAGTATGCTGATTTATCTTGACTGGCTTGATTCTATATTCCTTTTAATATGAACTTCTTTAACCTTTGCCTGGATTGAATACATGTCTTGTTAGTTAACCTGTTTCGGTTACGATTTCTCGTTATCAGTCTTTTCTGGCAATTACCTAAAATACATCATATGCAAAATTGTAACTACACAGAGTACTCCCAATTTCAGTTCTTTGAGTATACTTTTTTGTGCTCTTTTCCAGTAACTGATTATGGCCTTGTTTGGTAATCAGTTGTTAGCTGTTAGCTGTTAGCTGATTGTATTAGCTGTTTTGACCAGCAGATTGCATTAGCTGTTTTGACCAGCTGATCGTGTTAGCTGTTTGTAAAAAAGTGTTTGGTAAAATTAGCTTTTTTAATTAGCTGTTAACATGTAAAATTACTTATAAGGACATCAATATACTTTATCATTCCAATTTATATTGAACTTATAATTATTTAAAAAATAAAAATATTTAATATTTTAAATATTTATTAAAATGATTCAAATGTGATAAAAAATATAAATAATAATAAAATGAAAAATGTTTCATAATGTAAATAAGTTCACGCAAGTTACTATTAGAAATGGTTCAAGTTACTATTATAATTAAAAAAATAACAAATAAAAGAAATGAAAAAAAAATAAAACGGTGAATGCTTTTAATTTTAAATAGTGAAAAGATGTTTTTCTTTTGTTGATATTTTGGGGAGAAAAAAGTACGGGCAGTGAGGACTTTTAATTTTTAAACAGTGAAAAGCTGAATCAAAACGCTGCTCAAAGCAGCTTTTTAAAATTTAGCGGATTGATCCAAAATGCTATTTGTAAAAGCTGTTTACCAAACACACTTTTTAGCTGATTAAAAAAGTCAAACAGCTAAAATAGATGAAAAAGCTCTTTTGGCATGAAAAAGCTAAAAAACAAACAGGGCCTATAAGCTTTTCGGGTCAGTTTTTTTGTTTAGGTATTAATCTTCTTCATGGTTAAATTTTTTTTACTGGCAGTATATACTCGTAGATCAAGCGATAGTAAGCCATATGAAACTAAAATATTGATCAAGAAATTTATATCATATATCAAAGCCGATAACAATAAAAAGGCTTGTAAGTTTTGAAATATATTTATAATTTAAGTTAGATCAAGTATTTTATATTTATAAAGGTTTTTGTAGGCATGGATAGAAGTTTAAATCTACATTGACTACTCCGAAAGCACAACGAATTTTACACATAAGATTATGAAGTACAAAAAAATGAATACATAAGATTACTGAGAACCATAAGTTAATAGGTAGATTCGGAGAATCTTTGCACATATGTGTTGGAGAGATTCTAATTTGTATTATAATACATTTTAAAGAGTGATATTGTAGTTCCATTAGTAACTAGTTATTGTTCATATCTAGGAACGTAATTATTACTCTATTTCTCAAATATTATAATTCCTTGTATCTAAAATTGCCTCTGGAAAATCATTATCAAGATTTTCTAGAAATACACGTCAATACATCAATAAATTTTAATTTTTGATGATTTTGAAATTATTTGGAGGATAATTATTATGGAGGATGGCTACAATCCCGTAACAGTACGATTATGTTCATTTTATTTTAGATCGTTGGATATTCACAATTATTACTAGTCTATAAATACAGGAAAATCGTATATTACCTGCATACATTGTTGTAATCTGATTGATTGAAATAATAAAGGAATCATCCCGTTACATGACTTTAATATTTTCTATTATTATGTTCTTAGCAATCAATATATACTATTATTTTAAAATGAACATGACTCACAAATGGTAAAAAACAAATAGTTAAAATAACATTTTCATTTGAATACTTGATAACACCTTAATAGAGTTTGGCCCACACTCACCAAATTTTTTAAATCCCCCCATTGAATATTTTAATTAAATATCTCATATTGGGAATGGCTGCAATTTGCAATAACTGATTGTCTGATTATGTGAGTGTTGAAAGCTGCTTGCTTGCTGTAAAGCACTGGCCTATGCTTTCATGAATGTTAACGCGTGTGAATCCACTCGTGCTTGTTTTGTGTATTCTAAACTTAGTGAATAGATCTATTAAATGAACTGAACCATTTTTTGAACACAGTTTGGTTCGGCTCGTTAAAAGCTTAGCTCGGCTCTCGCGTTGAATCATACGAGTTGAGTTCGAATAGCTAATTGAATAAACAAGTCACGGAAGTCAGACAGGGGCGAAGCCAGCCTCAAATTTCACCGGGGTCGACAATATTTTTTAGCGGGGTCATTAATCTAGTAAACAGTGTTTGAACAGTATTTTATACTAAAAATTTTGAATCTATAGGGGTCAGCTGACCCCTACATTAGCATGTAGCTTCGCCACTGAAGTCAGACAACATTGTTTCCAAACAACTCTTTTTATTTTTATTTTTTATTGTGAACTTTAGATGAAATCCTCCCTATATATAATTCTCGAATGCGCTGAGCCTACGTGGTTGTTTCTGGTGCTTCGGAATCCTACTTGGCGAAGAATCATGCTTCGTAATTAGGTTTGGACAAATAATATTGATATATTAATAATTAATAATCTAGGTTTGGACATTCCATAAATATTATTTAGCTAACTTAGGTAATTTAATATCATTGTACTAATTTAACCCTTTAATTCTTTGTAATTTTACATAATGAGACACTAAGTGACTAATATATCCCTGACTTTTGATTTGTTTCCTTCAATTAGCTATTGAATTGTAAATATATTTTAAAAGTTGATAACTTTTGTATTTTTATCGGTTTTACATATATAATATATCAAATTAATCATCTTTTGATAATCTTCGATTTGACATCTATAATGTATATATTGAAATAAATAAAATATATTTATATTTATAATAATAAAAAATAATTATATTTATTAAAATTCATTAGAAAAATAAAATTATTTCTCAATTGATATAATTATGTTTAATGTAGTTATATGTTGTAAGTTAAAAAAATTATTATAATATAACACACGTAAGTCGCACAAATAAAAAGTGTCATACTAAATATATAATAATATATATTTTTATAAAAGGTATTTAAATTTTTAACTATTTTTCTCATTAATTTTAGATTTTAAGAAAAAAATTAACAAGCACCCGTGTAATACACGGGAGTTGTACTAGTACATAATCAAACATAATTTGTTTACGAAAAGATATTTCATTTACACAAATAGTTCATTTAAGGTTTTAAATTTAATAAACGAGTCGAGTCGAACTGCAGTGAACCTTATTAGGGACGAGTTGACTTAACTAGACTGATAATACTCTTATTTATAAACTACACAAATTCATGTGTAAGAATTGGTATGGTGAATTTTAGAATGTACTTTCGAAATCTCTTAAAAAATTGGTACGGTTGATATGGTCCGAGATGAGCAACTCCGGTCTTTCAGAGGTTTCTTCCCGGTTATGACGTAGACGCGCTTAACACGGTTCGGTCCAAGCTCGAATGTTCGTCGGTACCTAAGAGGATCGGAATTACTCCGGCGCAAGACCCTACTAACAGCGGAATTCAACATATATATAGTGTTTTACCGTATAGACTTCCTTCTAAGGTCCTTAATCCTCGGATACCCGTCGACCAAATGTAGCTTGGTTGATACCCGCATATATGGTCAACATTCGAATTTCGACCGACCTTGTTATTGTCGTGTGGTCGAACCACCATTCGATCGTTTGATCCGGTCGATCCCTACTCGACCCGGTACCTATGCTCGACCATTGAAGCTGGTCGAACCCCCCCACAGCCCTTCTCACTTGGTTGGCCATTAGGCCTACTCGACTGTATGGGGGTCTATGGTAAACCGAACCGGGTCGGTATTATATCCCTATCAACTATGAATAATGCACAATTAAGATTTATATCGAAATTAAATAATAGAAGTAAAAGGTTTTGACATTAATGAAGACTCTTAACTAAATTCAAACCTACGAATTTAAATAGCTCGCCCACCACTTAAAAAGCAATGCCATCTGAATTTTATTAAACAAAAAATTCTGCCCGAAAACGACATCGTCAACCCTTCAACTAGTCAAAAAAAAAAAAAAAGGTAATAATAACCGCACACGTGTCCTTCTCCCCCACCCCGTAAATAACCGCAAATGCTATTTGTCTGTTGCTCACCATCTGTGACAGGCCCGTCGATTTATCACCCACTAGCGTCCGTCAGTTTCTCTCCTATTTTCTATAGAGAACTCCCAAAATCTGAACGCTTATTTATTTATTTATTATTTATTTTCATTTATTTATTTATTACCTTCTCTCTCCATCTCTCTCTATTTCTCGACGAGATGTCGCTGAGAAGATCTTTTCTCTCACGGCGGATCATTCACCGTTCCTTCGGAATTTCAAAATCGTGCCAGGAAAAATGCGATTCTCCATGTCCGCCGTCGGTTTGCTTCGGCGAACACGGTCGCGGTCTCGATGGGGGGGACGACAAAGAGGAAGGAGGTGATGACGGCGGTTGTCGCGACAGCGGTAGACGGAAGCAGCTTCAGAATCACGGCGGCGTCGTTTCGATGGATGAATCCGGGTCAGGAGAGTCGGGTTCGTGGGCGGGCATGCTGCCGGAGCTGCTGGGGGAAATAATGCAGCGGGTCGAGGCGAGCGAGGAGAAATGGCCCCAGCGGCAGAACGTCGTCGCGTGCGCCTGCGTCTGCAAGCGGTGGAGGGAGGCGGCGAGGGAGGCCGTTGAGAGGGCCGCCGTCAATGAGCCGGGAAAGATCACGTTCCCTTCGGCCCTAAAAAAGGTCCCATCTTAATTATTCAGTTTTCCCTTTTTAATTTGTGTGATTGATGATGTGGATTTGAAATCTCGATCCTAAAAGATGGATTTTTACTTGTACGTGTAACAAGGACTCGGGGATCTGTGGATTGTGTTGATCTGAAATTCCTCTGGAAGGATGAAGGGTCTGGATTGTGATTGCAATTTTTGGATTCTAATTACGTTAGATTTTTGTTTCTAGACATGAATGGGCAGTGCATTGGAATGAGTTGAAGGAGCCAGCTTTATCTTCCTGAATGGATCTCTATTTATTAGTTTATTTTCGTCTACATGAGCAATGGGATTTATTTGAAATTTGATTTCATGTATTATATGGAGAAGGGAAATGGACGTGCAAATGGAGTGGTATTAGAGTGTCCGGAAGATTTAATGTTGAAGCATTTGGGGAGATAGCATCTTGTTTTATGATTTCTCTTGTTGTTTTTAGGATTGAAATTGTACTGTTTTATCACGTAAAGTGGTGATCTTTTGAAATGAATGTTTTAGTCTGGCAATGGGAAAGCCGTAGGTATGAGCTTTCACCATGATCAATCAATGATTAACTGTCTCTTTGGTTTTTGGTTCAGCACATTTTATGCTCCACGAGTTAGATATGTAATTGATAACGCACATTGTAATAGGAAATCCTTGATCTTTTGTTACTTTATGACTGAAATTTTGAGTGTAAATACTTTTGTGGCGGACTGATGTATCCTTAGATATTTACGTGCACTTTATATGTTCTGCAGCAAGGTCCACAGGATTCTCCAGTTCAATGTCTTATAAAACGTGACAAGAAGAATGCAACATTTTATCTTTATCTTGCTCTCTCACCATGTAAGTAGTCTCTATTCTAGAGCTTCTCGATATACGTACCCCTATAATTTCTTACTTTTGTTGTTCTGCAACTTTGGAGTTATGGGAAACATAGAGCATTTTTTTCTGTACATATGTTAATTCTTTTAGGATATTTACAAAATCGTTAAAGAGGTTTGCCTTTTTAACAAGAATAACCTATATTACTGATCGACGATCGTGATAGTTGAAGCTGGGACATCATTTGTAGAAAATTTAGTTCAACTCTTGGTTCGACTTTATTGCTATCTTTACTTGATGTTGGTTTCTGATTGGTTTGATTATCCTTATAGCATTCACTTACTGCACTGTAGTACAAAACGACAAGATAGTTGTTATCGTTTGCCCTCTCGCTTGTAGTTATGGAGGTTTTATAGTATTCTCCCTTTATTTTTTGTTTGTTCTCTTGATCAACACAGCTATTCAATATTATCCTTTATAAACTATGTCTCTGTTTGACTCACCTTTACATTCATAATGTTCCATTTGTAGTCACATTGGGAATTGTTACATTAGCAATGTATAATGACATTAGATATTGTGTTTATCTTTCTTTTCTTGGCGCTCAATGCCTGTATTTAATCCGGCTGAGCTTTTAAAAGGAAATTGCTGTTCCTTATGAGTCATGAATTACTTGACACCACCCTCAATGTTCTTGCCTAGCTATTATCATGATTAGCTTGAGATTCTACAACAACAACAACAACAACATAGCCTTTTAGCTTAAGATTCTAACGAGAGAATTTTTGTGACTGCCATTTTACAGCATTCACAGACAAAGGAAAGTTTCTCCTAGCCGCACGTAGATACAGAAGTCGTGCCCACACTGAATACATTATATCACTCGACGCCAGTGATCTATCTCAAGGAAGTAAAGCTTATGTTGGAAAACTGAGGTGAGGATTTCTATCCACCCATTCTTGAATACAAGGAGTTAGATAGTAAGGACACTAGTTTGTCTTAACTAAATATGGTTTGTCGATAACTAGACCCCTGTAAAGTTTAGCTATGTAAAGAATCCCTACGCTAGTTTCTTGAAAATCGAAACCCCTTTTTCCTCTATTGATTTTATTGTGTCTGTTATCCCTCAAAATATTAAACTTTTAAAGACCAAATCACTCATCTCCATAACAATTCACAACAGGTCTGATTTCCTCGGCACAAACTTCACAATTTATGACAGCCTGGCGCCCCACAGCCGGGCCAAGCCGTCCAGCAGCCGGGCCTGCCGCCGGATTGCGAGCAAACAGATAAGCCCACAAGTCCCGGCCAGCAACTTCGAGGTGGGCCACGTCTCGTATAAATTCAACCTCCTCAAATCGAGGGGCCCAAGGCGGATGGTGTGCTCCATCACATGCCCACCATCCGAAGAAAAAAATAATCCTGAAGGCCCAATATCACCCTCTGCAGTTGGGCCTACAGTGGTCTTAAAAAACAAGGCCCCGAGATGGCACGAGCACTTGGAGTGTTGGTGTTTGAATTTTCACGGTCGGGTTACAGTTGCCTCGGTTAAGAATTTCCAAATGGCTGCAACTAATGATGAGGAGACTGTGCTTTTGCAGTTTGGGAAAGTAGGGGACGACACTTTCACGATGGATTACCGGAAGCCCTTGTCTGCTTTTCAGGCGTTTGCTATTTGTCTCACGAGTTTCGGGACGAAGCTGGCCTGCGAGTAACGGTTTGTGGGGGAGTTTTGGGAGATGGAGAAAGTTGTGTGGGTGATTGTGTTATATAGTTTTTTTTTTCTCTTTTTTTTTTT